TTTTTCTATGACAGTACACAATACCCGAAATTTAATCATAGTCAAAAATGTTTGATTTAAATTCTAACCGATTTCGGTCACATTGTGTTAGTGTATAAATTTTATAATATATTATACTTTTGCTTTATTCTATCTTAAAAAAATGATTACAGGCAGACAGAGCACATACTTTGGATGTGCATTGAACATATCAAACATTTCTATCACACGTATCATAACAGAATCACTAAAGTAAACAACAGATGATTGAAATCAAACAATTATACTCGAGTAAAAATGCCTTGAATTCTGACTTAACAACAGTTCAACGAAATGAATCGTTAGCAGCAATCGCATCAAACGATTTGATCGAAGCCTACTTCGCCCATACCTTGTTCTTGATTGTGATTGCCGAGAGAAAATAGGTTCATGTAAAATCAAATCACCTGTCGTTGGAAGTATTTGAGTTGAATCGAACTCGTTGTGTCAATTGCTTTGCAACGAGAACTGCAACGAGTATAAAATTTTTGTTCATACTCGAGTACTGATTCAGTACTCTGTTTGATTTATTCCGTTTGCTTCGGGTATAAGTATTGAACTTTTCGTTTCCAGTCAATGTGAACGAACAAGTTCCAAACACGAGTAATGGGCCCATATATGATTTTTTCTATGACAGTACCCAATACCCGAAATTTAATCATAGTCAAAAATGTTTGATTTAAATTCTAACCGATTTCGGTCACATTGTGTTAGTGTATAAATTTTATAATATATTATACTTTTGCTTTATTCTATCTTAAAAAAATGATTACAGGCAGACAGAGCACATACTTTGGATGTGCATTGAACATATCAAACATTTCTATCACACGTATCATAACAGAATCACTAAAGTAAACAACAGATGATTGAAATCAAACAATTATACTCGAGTAAAAATGCCTTGAATTCTGACTTAACAACAGTTCAACGAAATGAATCGTTAGCAGCAATCGCATCAAACGATTTGATCGAAGCCTACTTCGCCCATACCTTGTTCTTGATTGTGATTGCCGAGAGAAAATAGGTTCATGTAAAATCAAATCACCTGTCGTTGGAAGTATTTGAGTTGAATCGAACTCGTTGTGTCAATTGCTTTGAATTGATTTGATTGCCCTTAGGGTATGAGTATTCGATCATACTTAATCATACTCGTTGCAGTTCTCTACTATGTCAATATTTAAATACCCTAAACGATTTTGCTTTTCCCAGCGGCGACAGATTGATCGGTGAAGCTTTTATTCTCCAGCAGGACAACGCTCCTTGCCACAAGGCAAAAATGATCCGCCGATCTATTCAGGACAAAGGATAAACCATTTCTTAGGTCACAAAGAAGTGGAATAAGATTCAGTTGACCTACCTCAAAACCGTGGTGGATTCCGTTCCAAATCGTCTTCAAAAGGTCATAGACACAAAAGGAGGATAAATTTTTTATTAATTTTTTGTTTAAATTGAATTTACATAACAATATATTATATTTAATTGTGAAACAAAGCTATGTCAAAATGCATATGCCACCTATGGAATTTAGTTTATTTTAGTTTAAATTAAAAAAAATACAAAATAAATTTATAAAAAAAATAAAATTGTTTTTTTGGTAGTAATACATTACTAATATCTATTAAAAATTAAATCACTAATTGTTTTCCTTTAAATAAAGAATAAATAAGAAATAAATGAAAAAGAAAATGAATCATCGCTATATCAAAATATATATACCGACTAGTGTATACGCCTACTCGCAGTTCCCATTTGTAGCTCAAATGTCGTCCACTACAACCGCTAACAAGATCGCTGCACTATCATCGATACTCGCCATCGAAGGATATCCGAAAACCATGGTCAGCGCCACCGGTCCGCAGCTTACGGCTGACGCCTTTGAGGAATTTTGCAAACGTCATGAAATAAAACACATTACCACAGCACCGTTCCATTCAGCATCTAATGGATTAGCAGAGCATTTCGTTCAGACGTTCAAATTCTCAGTCAAGAAAAACCTCAAAGACGGTATACCAGTCCGAGCAGCAGTTAGTAAACCTTGCTTCCCACAGGTTCACTCCAAATTCCTACGGAAAATCTTCCGCCGATTTAATCCATGGTCGTCCAGTCCGTACTGTACTAAGTCAACTTTTCGAGCAGCCTGTCTAAGCCAAGCAATCGGTTACCAAGTACGTCCCAAATCAAATGGACTACGCTCGTAATTATGCAAGGGGAGAAAGGTGGATTGAAGGCTCTATTGACCGTCCATTGCAAAATGCTTTTCTTGGTTCGCACCACAAATAGTTATATCAAGCGCCATTTCAACCAGCTAAAACCGAAGTTCTCAGCAAGCAGCTCCATCGAAAAACCTTTAGAGCTCTTTTGGATCCCAGATACTCCGCCCTCTTCAAATCAAAACCTGAAACAACAAGATCAACCACTACAACAACAAAAAGATGAACCAGTAACCGTTCAGCAACGTCATTCTGAACCTGAGCCACCCGAGCCGAGAGCTCGACGTCATCGAACCAACAGCCAAGGCAAAAACAACCAGCACGACTTTCATCCGGCATACCAGCATATCGCCATTTATTTGCATTAAAATCATTTTATCCGCGAAATCTTTATACATTAAATCAGGGGTGCCCAAGCTCTGCATACGGAAGAGCCAACTACCATACCAATGCAAAAAATCACCAATACTTTGGTGGGAGAATTTTTTTTCCCATCCATGTAGGTGCACTGAAAAATAAAATTATAAAATCATTCACAAGGGGCTCAAAAAAAATCAATATATAAAAAATACATTTTATTATAGCCTTTAAAAAATCCCTCCATTTTACAACAATCCCTCCATTATTATACTATGACAAATAATGCGAAGCTTCTTAAAAAAAATGTTCTGCGTAGAAGAAATTTATCGCTTTAGGTCGACCATTTTGGCAGAAACAGAAACAAGAATGAATTTCTTGCAGTGAAAAGTTTTCGGCACTCCAACAACAAAATTCATTCGGATTAGCACGATTGAGGAGAACAGGGAAAACACGAAAAATTGTTATTGTAATAGCCCTTTGCTTATGCTGGGACCAACGAAGCTTATGGCGTGAGCAGTCTCACACAACTCCGTATACATGAACATTTGCAAAAAAAAATGAGCAGCGAGAGCAATGGGATGAGCACCACTACATTAAATGTTCATATATACCGCCTTCGTCCGAACCGCCCACATATTGGCATCATTTGTCCGCTATTTAATCCGTTTTTAATATTATGACTGATGGTGACCAGCTGGAAGTGTGGGCGACTATAATATCCCAGAATTAAAGTGGTCCAACGTCGATAACTCACCATCTTTATCATTTATCACGCACCACTTCACCGCGGGCATGTTTGACATGTCCTTAGGTCAAATTAACCATGTTATAAATTCGTTGGGTCGGCTTTTAGACTTTTGTTTTGAATCTGATCCTGTTGGTCCCTTCTCTCCAGAGCTTTCCCCCTTTCAACCCCAGAGAATCCATATCACCCCACGCTGGAGGTCTTAATCGAAACCATTCCTGGTATCGATCAGATGTCTCCATGCGGGGCAAATAAGATTCGCTGTTGTCGTAAAGCTGATTTTCACAAACTTAATAACCTTATCGATTCATTTGATTGGTCCAATATTCTGGCATGCACCGATTTAACCGATTTAAATGTCACCTTAAAAAAATTTGCAAAATTTTTTTTCTGTCTGTCTTTCTCCGAGAACATCTTATTATCTGATCTTATAAGGGTCAAACCAGTTTATTTGGCAAATATGGACTACCAGGCTGTGTGCTCAAATACTGTGCCAGGGCTCTGTGCAAACCTCTTCTAAGACTTTTCAACTTATCTTTGGAAACCTCGATTTTTCCTTCTAAGTGAAAAGAATCTTTCATAATTCCCATACATAGAAAAGGGGAAAAGTCGAATGCTGCCAACAACAGAGGCATCTCAAAATTGTCTCAAATGCATCGCAAAATATACATGCCTTCTAAAGAAGGTCTAGAAACTTTAGTCCTTTATTCCTTAGCCATTGTAGTTCGACATTTGAACAACAAGACCTCCTTAGGGTCTTATGTTCAAACTATTATACTGTACCTAATCTCACTTTCCTGTCCTTCAAATATAAAAACATTTATTTTAAATTTTCTAAGTAATTCTTTCATGTTAGGCTGATGTCAGAGTGCGCGCGAGAAGCGAAGCAAAGCAATGCGAGAGGGAAATTTCATAAATTTTTATAATGAATTGGGAAATAACCCAGAAAAGTTTTTTAACTATTCGCGGATGTCTATTGTGTTGGTCTGTGCTTTTAACACTTAATCTTATTCCTAAATAAATGTAAAATTTATACTGAAATATTAATAAATAGAATATAATAATAATATAACAAAAAACATAATTTCTTTCGTCATGTCACCCAATAACGAATACCTGAATTATTTTAGGGTAGATAGCCTGAAAAGTTAGAAATATCAAAATTTTTGTGCGCTGGCTTCGAACGATGAGCGTAAAAAAAAGAATAAGATCTCGCTCTAAGGCCTTCAGCAAGAAATATTTGCGTCCATTTCGTTATATGAAATAGGTTGTCTATATGCTGTATGGTTAAGTTAGTGATATTTAAAAGGTTGCAGTGGTTTAACGCTCGTTCTCGCCCAATATTATCGCATCGCTTCTCGCGCTCCGAGAGTTAATTGCACGAACGAAACTGCCTTCAAAGCAGTGAGCTCATGGTCTTTGTACTACAATAATAAAACAATACTTTTTAAAAAAGTTGACACCGAAATGGACCTAATTTATTATATTAGATTGGCTTCACTCAGAAAAAAAGTTTTCGTTGGTTTGAACATATGTTTCACTTAATATTAAAGTAAATATTTACTCATTCTTTCGATTTTTTTTTATTTAATACTTTTTTATGTATTTTGTTCTTCCCAACAAAGACCCACGTCGGGTCTTTTGGATTTTAACGACCTTAAATATACAAAAAACAAATTTATTCGTGAAATACTTTTCACTTTCTAGCTACTGAAAATCAACAACTACCTTAGAAACTAGAAACTACTACCTAACAAATCTAAAATTATATTCATGTTTTTTATTGCTAAATCCTTAAGCATTTGGCGCAGTCAGAGAGTATTCATATTCCAAAACCTGTTTAAATTAACAAAAAAAATTTGTAAATACATTTTGATAAACCGTCGTAATTTTACATCATGTTTGATATTTAACATTACATTCCGAACATATACAAACCTGCATAATAGGACCGATTTTGAATGTATAACTGCATGTAGCTCGTGGTCGTTGCACTACAATAATAAAACAATACGCTTTAAAAAAGATTACACCAAAATAGAGAAAATTTAATATATATGTAGATGTTGGTATGAGTGTATGGGTGTGCTGTCGTCGGATGCTTAATTTCATCGTTATAGGAATATTGCGTCAGACACTAATTGTGCTGTGATTGGTTGTGTGTATGTTGTCGCTTTAAGAAGCGTCGTTTTAGCAGGGCGACAACGTAGTGTCGCTGTCGCCGAGTGTGGTTCGGTGGTAAGGAGAGAAAGAAGAAGGGCGACGCAAGCAGTTACGTATAGACCGTCGTATGTGCAAAACCGAAACTCGCTGTGCTATTACGATGTCGAAAAACATGTGCTCCGGTTGCGTTGGTTTGAACTTAATATCAAAGCGAGCTGGGTAAATATTTCATCATTCATTTTTTTTTATTTTTTTTATTATCAATCAATCAATAGTTATATTTAAAATCTGTCCGGAGTTATGGACAATAATTAAATTTTATAATGGGACCTTAACTTAATGAAATATTGAGTTGTACAATGTTTGCTTATCCTAGGAAACTAATTTTAACAGTAACCCTTAGCGATAGAATTCAAGTTATTTATTGTCTGGCCCTTTAGTGGGCCTTGTTGGTTTTACAACTGCAGCTCAGTCCCATTCGCCCGAGTGGCAGAGGTCCAGGTGCCAAAACAGTGAGCTCCTGGTCGTTGCACTACAATAATAAAAAAAACAAGAAAGGAAAGCTAACTTCGGGCGGAGCCGATGTTGATATACCCTTGCAGTTAAAAGCGGATATATGGTATATCGCAAACATCGGATAAAGGTTGCCGGTCCTTGTGAGAATATCATCAGAAAACCAATTAATTACAATAAAATATATAAAAACAAAAAGTCCCAAGCTTCTATCTTCAAAAATATCAAAGTTAGTATATCTACCAAAAACCATTACCGATCATTCAGTTATATGTCAGCTATAAGATATAGTCGACCGATCGTTGTGGTAGATTTGGTAGATCGGATTAACTGACCAAAAATAGAATTTGTACCAAGTTCCAGCTTTCTATCTTCAAAAACACAAAAGTTGGGTCATTTCCGATCGTTCAGTTATATGTCAGCTATAGGATATATTCGGCCGATCCCGGTCGTTCCGACTTATATACTACGTGCAAAGAAACAGACAGACAGACGGACAGACGAACATGCTCATATCAACCCAGGAGGTGATCCTGAGCAAGAATGTATATACTTTATAGGGTCGGAGATGTCTCCTTCACTGCGTTGCACACTTTTGGACAAAATTATAATACCCTACAAGGGTATAATAAGCTTTAAAATAGGTAAGACCAAAATGGAGACAAATTTAATATATAAGTTTGGCTTCACTCAAAAAAATATTTTGCGTTGGTTTGAACATTTTTGTCACATAAGGGGACCCCCCTTCTCGATTTCAAATTTTCCCCTTCAAACGAAAATCAAACAATTTTCAATGGGATGGCAAATGAACATAAATTATTTTTTAGGGTTGTAACTTTGCGTACATTTATTTGAAGACATAAAAAGGAAGAAAAAATTTTACATAATTTTTTTTTTTCTTTTTTGTTGTTTTTTATGATTAAACAAAAGACCTTCTTTTCGGGGGCGCAGGTGATTTCCGCTCCTTGGAACATCAGAAACCAAAAATTCCAAGTACATGTTTGGCTCTGGTATAAACTAGGATTATTAATTTCGCACAAAAATTAACAAAATGGCGGACCTTAGATATTTTGTTTTTGTCTTTTTTTCAGACATAAATCAAGTTGAAAATTAAAGAAGATCTTCACCGATTTGATTTATCCTAGTTCTTACTATTATGAGAGCTATAATAACTTACTTCTTACTATCATAACTTTTCATACATTTGTTTGAAGACATAAAAAAGAAGAAAAAAATTGTACATAATTTTTTTTTCTTTTTTGTTGTTGTTTTTTGGTTGTTTAAAGCAGGGACCGTAATTATTATAATTTTTAAAATAAAAATTATTTGTTGATTTTTATGACAAAAATTGAAATATAACTCTTATTGTCAATTTGTATAATAATTAGAAAAATAATTATTTTTCAATTTTTACAACAAAATAAAAAATAAAAATTTAAATTTGATTTTTTTTTTTAAATTGAAAATAAAAATTAAATGCGAATAACTTCTAAACCATGTGGACTATTAAAAAACGATTAACATATTTATGATCTGTGGCGCAGTACCTTTGAAATGATGTATGAATGTGTTATATTTCAATTTTAACAATAGAAATCGAAATAAAAGTTTATTGTGTTTCCGGATCCACCGTTAAAAAATGGTACATGTGCCCTTTTCCCACTCCCCGCAAATGCTTTTTTGTGGTTCAATTTTTTTGAACTCATAAGTCTTATTTGCAGTCCCTGGTCGGAACGGCCGGGATCGGCCGACTTTATCCTATAGCTGCCAAATAACTGATTAATCGGAAATGGTATAACTTTAGTGTTTTTAAAGTTAGAGAGTTTAAAGAGAGCTATTTTTGGCAAGTTAGAGAGCTATTTTTGGCAAAATAATACGGCATGCCAAATTTCATAAGGATCGGCCGACTATATCTTATAGCTGCCATATAACTGAACGATCGGAAATGGTATTTGGTAGAAATACCAACTTTGGTATTTTTGAAGATAGAAACTTGGGACTTTTTTTTTTAGATAATTTATTGGATCGGCCAACTATATCCGATGTTTGCGATATAAATCCGGTTTTAACTGCCAGGGTATGTCAACTTCGGCTCCGCCCGAATTAGCTTTTCTTTCTTGTTTTTGAATAAATCGATACTGAAGTTATTTCTTTGTTGATGAAATGAGATATACAACAAAAATTATTTTATTAAATTGTCCTATTATTACCTATACCATTAAAAAATATTTTACAATTCTAAATGAGATTCGTGAACTGTCCAGAAATGTAAAAAATAAAGTGCTTGTTTGATTGACTTTGATTTGAGTGAGTGCTTGACTTTGATTTTTAAAATTAAATACCTGTGCTTTACTGCTATATCCTCAAGCATTTGTCGCAGTCAGAGAGCATCCATATTCCGAAAGCTGTTTAATGAAAAACATACATTTATAATACAAATTTATTAAAACCATCATTGGTATTTAATAATATATTCTAAACATATTCAAACCTGAATAATAAGCACGATTTGGAATCTGTAACTCCATGTACAAAAGGGGTGGTCCAACTGACTCATTATAGGTGCCAAAACGGTGAAATCGTGAGTGTTGCACTAAAAAAATTTAAAAAAATACGATTTAAATAAGTGGCAACAAAACAGAGCAAATTTAATATATAAGTTTGGCTTCACTCAGAAAAATAGTTTGCGTTGGTTTGAACATTTTCTTCACTTAATATCAAGGACTGCAAATAAGACTTATGAGTTCAAAAAAATTGAACCACAAAAAAGCCTTTTTTAACGGTGCATCCAGAAACTCAATAAACTTTTATTTCGATTTCTATTGCTAAAATTAAAATATACCTCTTTTATCAATTTTTATAATAATAATTAAGAATAAGAATTATTTTTCAATTTTTATTTAAAAAAAAAAAAAGTAAAAATTATGATTCAATTTTTATTAAAAAAATTGAAAATAAGTGTGATGATTAAATTTTTATTATAAAAAGTGAATGCGAATAACTTCTAAACCGAGTGGACTATTAAAAAACCGCTTACGTATTTATGATATGTGGCGCAGTACTTTTCAAATGATGTATCGAACGTCCTCAAAGGACATAATCAAGGATTCTTCAATTATTCAATTTATTTAGTTATATTTCTACTAGAAATTTTCAAGTCTGTACACACCCATTTTCAAGTACGGACGTTTCAACATTTTCAAGTTTCAAGTCTTAACATTCTTTTGATTATATTGAAATATTTGTTGTATATTTTTTAATTTTCTTTTTATTCATTTTTAAAAACAACAGTTTCTTTATGGACTCCGATGATAAGTTACACCGTAAATCCGAAAGTACCAATTTCAGTGCAGAAAATGCTCTTTCTACTGAAACCTGGGTAGCAAGCACACTATGCAAAACTTTTGCTAGTTGGTAGAGCCGAGGATAAGTAAACTTTTTGCCTTTCCAGTATTCCATTATATTCTCCTGCAGTCAAATTTTCTTAGGAGAGTATGTGTGGATCTCTGTCATAATCAACTTTAACTCAGGATCATCGTCGTCATTGGATTCCTCATTTTCCGAATTTACCTCAATGGAGCTAAGGAAATCCTTCAGTAGAGAACTCTGGGATGCTCCATCAATCTCACTTAACGACGAACTTTGGCTTTCAGATGAAACTTCCAGTTCTTTTCTTACTATGCTTTCCTAAAAAAAAATATAAATTATTTTAGAATAATTATTGCATTACTTTAACAATACGCGATTACCTTTTTATTTAGGGCTAGTATTTTTCGCATTAATGCTGCTAAATGATTTAAATAAATAAAAAAAATTTCAGATAAATTTCATTTTCGGTAAGATTTTTTTCTCGGTTCTCTAAGTGTTCGACAAGGTTCTTAGAGTGTGTGCTCTTCATAGACTTAATGAATAACTTTGTTTCAAGCCAAAGCTTATAAAAATCGCCGAAATATAATTGTTCGCTTTGCAATTTTTGAGTGGCTATAAAAATCGGTTCTAGTGCCGCCAACAGCAAGTTAGGTTAGGTTAGGTTGAGGCGGCGATGAGGGCCGGTTCTGACCCCCATCCACTTGAGCCGCTGGGGCTCCTTGTGATACCGCACAGGCAAGGATCCTACAAAAGGACCTCTCCCTTCCCACTACTTATGTGCCCAAGGGTGCTCTATCCTTCTTGAAGCGGCTCGCGGTCACATCCAGATTTACGGATGAAGGCTACGAGTCTGTGTGGAGCGACCTCCGCGAGGTCTGTAAGTATTGCTGCGCCCAAGAATTTGAGTCGGATGCGCCCCAGCGCAGGGCATTGACACAGGAGGTGTGCGACTGTCTCTTCCTCTTCTTCGTCTCCACAGCTCCTGCAGTAGTCATAATGTGGCACCGCTAGTCTAGCCGCGTGTGCTCCTATTAACCAATGTCCCGTAATGGCCTTGATCGCCAGACTACAGTCCTGCCTATTCAGGGCGATAAGCATCATTGACCTCTTCCTAGATCGGATTGGCCATATCATGCGGGAGTTCCTGCAGTTTTGGAGGTTTCTCCATTTCCGCAGTGATGCGCGGTCAAAGTGATCCCTGCATTTTAGCCTACACGTAGCTAAGGGGATACCTACTGGTTCCTTCTCCGGTAGGAGAGGATTGGTAGTACCTGCTCTTGCTAGTTCGTCGGCGGCGCAGTTACCCTCGTGGTCCCTATGCCCGGGCACCCATATGAGGTGTATGTCATGCTGCTCTGCCATCTCGTTAAGAGATCTGCGACAGTCATTCACTGTCCTGGAGTTGGATGAAAGACCGTCAAGGGCTTTGAGTGCCGCTTGAACGTCTGAAAAGATACAGATTGTGTCCTGATTACCAATAAGTGCTGGGGATCTGAGTGCTTCTCCGATAGCTATTACTTCTGCTTGGAAAACACTACAGTGGTCTGGGAGTCTGAAGGACTCATTTAAACACAGCTGTTCGCAATGGAAACCGCCTCCCACCTGGCCATTCAATTTTGAACCGTCTGTGTAAATATGGAGGGAACCTGCTGGTCCCGGGATTTAACAGCAAGTTAATTTCCTCCCAATTTGATTCCGTTAACTGCAAGGTATCACTTAGGTTTCCTTCTGAAAACTTCTTGAATACGCATACCTTTTTCAACATAGTGTACGTGGAGTTCCATCTTGTTGGCACATCCAGTAGAGGTTGGGGTAGCCCTTGTGAAGAAATGGCCAGCCTAAACATAATTTTAAAATAGTATTGTAATTTTTAAGTGTAATGTTATGCATTTAATTTGTTTACCTATAAGTCGGAGTTCGCAATGTTTTTATTATGGATTGTGCGCTATCGACAAGGATCGTGCGCTACCGTATGCCTTTTATGCAGCTCAATCACTCCAAGCGTTTTTACTTCAATGCGGTGGTCTCGATAGTATTGGACATTGATTCCCAATATACCCCTGTAATACCTCGAAGCAATGTCAATTTTAAGCGAAAGTACTCTATCCTTCAATAACTTCGAAAGAGTCTCCTTTATGTTGTGGTATTTTTCGCTTACGTGATTCATAATTATTTTTCAATTTTTATTAAAAAAAAAAAAATAAAAATTATGATTCAATTTTTATTAAAAAAGTTGAAAATACGTGTTATGATTCAATTTTTACTATAAAAATTGAAAATAAAAAGTGAATGCGAATAACTTCTGAACCGAGTGGACTATTAAAAAACCGCTTACGTATTTATGATATGTGGCGCAGTACTTTTCAAATGATGTATCGAACGTCCTCAAAGGACATAGTCAAGGATTCTTTAATTATTCAATTTATTTAGTTATATTTCTAGTGTGGGTCAACCATGTAAAAGTGCACATCAGGTTAACACTGTTATTTTAAGTATGAAATGATTTGGTTAGCATCAAATTGTCGTTGATTTTTTCTTCATTTCATTTGGGTGATGATCGCAATGGGACGAAAAAAAGATTTAATTGTCCGCGTGTGTCTAAATGTAAAATTTGTGGTCGTACCTATAAAGGGCACTACTTAACGAATTTGAGAAGACATTTGCAGGAGGTGAACGTGATAAACGTTCGATAAACGAACGTATAAACGTGAACTGGAAGAAAAAAATCCAAACGAGCCTCAAGCAAAGAAGAAAAAATTTTCCATTGCTCTTTCTTCTTTTGAAGACTGTGTGCAACTTGTGACCGAGGAGAAGGTGCCCTTTGCTTTGCTGGACAGGGCTCTTTTTAAGAAGTTGACGGAACAAATTTTTTGTGGCTTGGACATGAGCCCCATAACATCTCGCAACGTTATGAATCACGTAAGCGAAAAATACCACAACATAAAGGAGACTCTTTCGAAGTTATTGAAAGTTATTGAGTTATATTTCAATTATTGTCATAAAAATCAATAAATAATTTTTATTTTTAATTTTTATTTTAAAAATTATAATAATTACGGTCCCTGCTTAATATCAAAGCGAGCTGGGTAAATATTTCATCATACATTCGATGTTATTTTATTTTCCTATTAATACGTATTAAATAAAATATATTCTGACCATATACAAACCCAAATAACAAGCTCGATTTTTAATCTATAATTGCATGTACGAAAGGTGGTCATTCTAAATGCCAAATCGGTGAGCTCGTGGTCATTGCACTACAATAAAAAAAAACATACGCTTTAAAATAGGTGACACCAATAGGTGTCCTGTTCGACATACCAAAAATCGCATATAAAGTGAGTTACTACCTCATAACACTGACAAAATTACGCTACCATAGCATTTTAACTCAATTTAAACTGAGGCAAAAATCCTTCATCATTAAGTAAATACATTGAGTGTTTTGTACAGTGTGCAATGCCCATAAAACGCAAAGGGGGTGATTTAAGCCGTGACACAATTAGATCTCGAAACATGCGAAGTAGAAGATCCGAAAGAACCGAAAAACAAATTCAGCAAAAAAATACATATGTACGTGTTAGAATAGCGCAACAACAACAATCACAGTTTCACAGTCAATAGACGCAGAACAAATGACCAACAACGACAACAGGTACATCGAGCATTTATATCTCAATTATTCCTGCGTCTAGCATTCCAGTATCAGCTTGATATTGAGTATTATGCTCACTCAAAAGTGGTAATTGGTGCTACGGACAAGGTCATGCTCTGAAATTCAAAAACAAGCCAGTTGGGATGTGTTGCGCGTCAGGAAAAGTGCAACTACTAGAAATTGAAACACCACCTGAACCATTAAACGGCTTACTTATCGGCACGGATCCAGATTCTAATGTGTTCCTTAAGTCAATTCGAACATTTAATTCATGCTTTCAAATGACATCGTTCGGAACAACAGAAATAGTTCGAAATACTAATGCAAATGGCCAAGTTTATCATAATATGGGCTCACTGCTGCCAATGCCAAACGGACCACATAATTTCTTACAAATCTACTTTATGGGCGGCGAAG